ATTCTGTTCTCCATATGTAAAATCTAGAAACATAACAGAGTTAAGTTACACGAAATTCAGCCAACTTGAACATGAAGTCTTGTCAATTTACTTAATCGTTGATTGATTTCTAAGTTTATTAGAATTAAAAGAACGAACGTTTCATCAAACGAGTCCTATATTCAATATCTATTCGTTGGGCCCATTCTTTAAATGTAACTATATTCTTTTAACTTTAAAAGTATCTGTTTAGTGCTACTTTAACATATATTCATTATTTTTATCCGCACAACAGTATCAAACGTTAATGCACAACTAGCCATGCCAAGACATGGCCACTACCCTCGTCCAAAGTAAAATACAAGGTCCTCATTCTTTAATGATTATGTTTCAATTGATTTAGTTTAGTGATTTAAATGTAGGAAAATGAGTCGCTGTGATGTCATATCTGGCGCAGCAATTTCAGAGTCACTGCAAAAAATTGAAACATCAGTCGGATCATAAGACTAAATAAAAAAGCTATTTAGGGATGAATAACATTCGGTGAAATCCGTGATATCGTTATATCATTCGTTAATTGTCAAAGCTGCGCCCATTTCTCGGTGCAGGCAGATATAAGGCGGCCAGACTGGGCATACACAAAATGTATTGTATGTGCTCCTTACCCCCCTATCACACCAAACTAGTTCTTACCCGTTCTTGCCAGTCCTACGAAAACGTCGTAAAACGGGCTCAATCTGGCTGTGGTCGGGAAATATGTCTGAAATAATTAGCTTCTTCGTTCTTAAACAGTCTTCAATACGTCCATCTCGTTTGCAGTTCGTTCAGGTCGCACCACGTCGGTGTGCAACGTAGTAGAACGCGTCCCTTAGTCTAGAAGGTCAACATGACCTGATTACAGAACGGTATGGTCGCCATCGAATTTTGAATCGATTCAAAATTCTAAAATCACATTCCCGTCTGAGAACGTTCATAAAGTTCGTAAATAGACCTTAGAAAAATGCAGCTACGTTCATTCCGTTCGCACACAGTTTAAAACCAGTTTTGAAGAACGTAGTGGCAACTTGTTTGGTGTGATAGCTATATTTTTGCTAACTCGTTCATAAGCAGTGTTAAATACGTTCTAAATCAGTTTAAACCCGTTTGCAATTAGTTCTACCTCGTTCTCAACACGTCCTCAGACAGTTCAACTCGTTGTTAAAACGTCCCTAGTAGGATTGAAGTACGACGGCTCCGTTCGTAGTACGTCCAGCTCGTCGATAGTACGTTGTCACTCGTTCTAATTGTAGAACGTGACGACCACGAGAACATTTTGAGCATTGTCTAAGTTCTAGAGGACCTACCCGTTCGAGTACATTCGATGAAGTTTGTAAATAGATCCCAAACGGTTCTTAGTAGGTCCAGTCCGTTCGTACACAGTTGAAGCCCGTTTTCGAGAACGTAGTGAGAACTAGTTTGGTGTGATAGTAGGGTTAGGTTGCACTCGGGTGCTATCAACATCGAACACACACACGTTTAAGATACACAGAGATAATTAAGGGATGAGTGACAAAGGGATGTTAAAAACAGGTGGCTATTGCAATTGATATTTTAATGTAACTTTAGTATGTAAGAATCTTTTCATCAATAAAAATAACATCTTAGATATTACAGCTACATGTACAATGTGAGTGTATTTAAAAATGTAGTACATAGCTAGTTCCATCTATAAAGATGTCTGATGACAAAAAGCTCAATTTTCCTTGATGTCGTGGTCAATGGGACTTTAACACGTGAACTAATGTTTTTTATTTTTTTGTTTTAAAGTCACTTATAGCAAACCTAATCTAACAATTATCTCACTATATGCTTATGACATATTCATGTATACGTTGTTTGTCTTTTTTTCAAATCAACCCACGGAAATATGCAATACACCAAGTTAAAAAAGTGGTACGAATCATAAAAGCGACGTTGGGTGTTTCACTAGTAATTTTTATATGAAAAATCTAGAAATATTACCCAAATTAAACTATGACTATTCAAAAGAAGACATTCAAATCTATATTATGTAAAAAAATCAAATTTGTCCGAAGCAGGGATAACGCTCAATTAGAGTGACGAACTTTGTTCTCCAAACCGAGAATGGTCTTTTATGAAAAAAAGTTATGAAAACACATCACCAGATCATGTAAAGCTGTTTTACCTAAAAGATCGTTTTATCTTCACCCTTCGATTGGATTTCATGAAAAAATATTTTTATGAAAAAATAGGATTTGTAGGATATCGACGCTCTAACATGTAGTTTTAATCACACGCAGGTATCTGGTTTTATTGCGTGTAGAATGTATCGATATCAGGACCGCTACATGCCAGTGACCTTGCTCCTTTCTGTCGTATTAAAAAAGCAAAAATAACATATCACGGTGGGGTGCGAACCACTCGCCTGGGACTTGGTTATTCACTAGTACCATAGGCGTTCATCTATTCTGGATACAACTGACGAGTTGTATTTACGTGCAGTCAAAAGTGAAGATCATTTTGAATTGACGCTCGGTATAAATATATAATACTTTTATCCTTTCGTATCGGTTGCACGTTAGCCTCATGGCTAACGTGCCTAGCTTCCATGCTCAAGGTTAGTCGATCGAGACCCGTTCATGGCGAATTTTTTGATTTGCTTGTTGTAAAGATATAATAAGTAGGGCAAAATCCAGAAAAAGTAGATCAAAAATACTCCAATGGAGTATAAAATTGTCACCAGGATTCCGAAATGAGACGAATGTAAACTCGTTAAATCTCGGTAGATGAAGTAGGTCAGAAAATCCGGATTAATCCGAACAAGGTTCGGAAATCTTCGTCATAAGAAGTAGATCAAAAATACTCCAATGGAGTATAAAATTGTCACCAGGATTCCGAAATGAGCCGAATGTAAACTCGTTAAATCTCGGTAGATGAAGTAGGTCAGAAAATCCGGATTAATCCGAACAAGGTTCGGGAATCTTCGTAATAAGAAGTAGATTAAAAATACTCCCAATGGAGTATAAAATTGTCCCCAATATTCCGAAATACGACGAATCGAATCGGCAAACTTCGGTAAAATAATGAAGTGCATAAAAACCGAAATGATCCGATGAACGTTCGGATAAAATCGTGAACAGGTGCCAGGGGTTTCCCCTCATCTTTCCCCACATTGTTCTAAAAGCCTTATATGGATTTATCACGTAACATTCAAAATGACGTTCCTATATGGTTCTATGGGTTCGAACACGTGACCAAATATACCAAATAAAAATTTTACCTTGACCACTGGATGGGATTTCATAGAAAATATCCAAGAAAACCTATCCTCGTGATCCTTAAATCACTTAAATTCGATCATTTTATTTTCACCCCTTGATGGAATTTTATGAAAGAAGTCATGAAAACACATCATCATGTAAGGGTTTTCACCTAAATTAGCTCGTTTTATCTTGAGCCTTCAATTGAATTTCTTGAAGAAATATTTTATGAAAAAATATCATCATGTTATGATTTGTATTTAAATAAGACCGTTTCATCTAAATACTTGGATAATATTTCATAAAAAATGCACTTTAAAATTTTTCAGAATTTGCCTTAATTTATCAATGTAATGAAAGTATAAGATTAACTCTCAAATAGCGTTCTATTTTAACCTTTTTATTGAAATCAATACAGGACTCGCTCTCTAAATATCCAATAAAAATTCAACCCTTGGATGTGATTTCGTTGGGAAAAAAATATGTCAAGTCCAGAATCAAATGATTTGTCCAGAACCTCTTAAGATCCTGTTTAATCAATTTCATTGCATTATAACATTTTTATTAAAGTAAGAAATTGCTCCGCAGAACCCGTATTCACGTTACTATGACAACCATTGTTTTGCCATTATTCATCATATCTTATTTAATTTTTCAGGGTTGTTAGAAGAATGTCAAATACTTCTTCACTGAAAATTTGAAAGATAAATGACAAAAAAAAAAGTTTGAGAGCAAAATTAGCTTTACTTACTGAACGCCCTGTACAAATTTGGCTGAATGTAAGTTAACATGAGATTTTCTACTTGACATAATAGTTTCAAACAGTTTATCTGGATCCTTGTGTTTCAGATCAGATTTTAAAGTTTCAAGTAAAAGTACCCCACATTCACTACACAACCTTTCACTTGTGTGTTTTGGCTTAAGATTCCGAGAAGGAAGTGTACGCGATCAATAAGGACAGTATACGAGGTGTATGGCAAGAACCTTTATATCTTTTTTTACCAACGCACTATAGTACCCCACACAAGTTTTTGATAATAACTTTGACCCGTGATTTGAACACTCTATCCTTAACTATTTGTAATTTACCACACATAAACTAGAGAAGATTTCCAACATTGGATTTTTTTTATTAAGCCATATGATTAATAATGGTTAAATGGCAGTAAGTTCAAAATGCTACACAGTTACAAGTGTTTTACCAAATTGCTACATTGTTTGAATGACTATGACGTTATAGCTGTACAGTACATTTACTTGTATAGAGTTAAGTTCACTAGAGTCTTCTGAGTACAGAAATGAAAGGATTTGCAAGTGATGAGGCTAACCGAAGTAAAACATATTCTCAATCTAAATCAAAGGAGATTAAGAAGAGGAAAAGAAACAGTACAAAATCATATACACCACGGAGGCGGATAAGATAATGAGATTCAAGTCAATAAAATTGTTAAAATGAACAATTCATAGAATGATTTTATGACGTCAATTTGGTGAAAACCCATTAATGACACCCTTGATTTGATTACTTGTAATTTTATTGTTATTGAAGTAAAATAAAAACAAAAAATGTCCAATGTTGGAAATTTCCTCTGGTTTATGTGTGCTTAATTTTATAACAAATAGTCAAGGATAGAGTGTTCAAATCACGGGTCAAAGTTATTATCAAAAACTTGTGTGGGGTACTATGTACATCTAATATCATAGTAATCATGGCGCACACTAAATATGAATACAGAAACATGTCTATATTAAGTCTCTTACATTCTTTTAAGTCGTCAACTGGCGGACCATCGTCTATCCTCATACGTGGTGTCAGAAAACTGCGTTTAACCTCACGTTCATTTAATCTTTGTACGGGCCTACTAAGACCATCGAGAATTGGATTTCCATCGGATCCTAACAGTCTTCGAAAAGCTTCAAACTAAACCGAACAATTTATGATTAACAGGGAAAGACCTATTATAGCTTCAAATTGTCATTGATTTTGAAGAAAACAAACATGCAAGTCATGATACAGTCATCCTCCGATCACAGGGCTTCAAAATCCAGAATATCTTCTTTCTTTTTACCCCCTGCTTTAACCAAGTTGGACGCGCCCGATTAAACTGAATCACGTGATCTTATTATGCGCCGATGACGTATACATGATTTTTGTCGCAGTGTTGCGACAGCCAATCAAATTGCGAGTTCTTAATCGGGGAAATGCTAACTGCTTATAGCAGGGGGAAGAAGGAGGTACGGATTCTGGACACCTGCTTAGGAGGATGTGATACAGTGAGCCCACATCATTAAAACAAGAACAATACCATTTTGAAAGAAACAATTACCTGGGCCTTAGACATTTGGATTTTGTCTGCAAATACGATTCGAAGAACATTTTCATCACAGGGTGGGGAAGAGAAACTCCCCTTGTATTGGTAGTATCTGTAATTAAAACAATGAGACCATTGACATATACTTCGTAAAGTTGAAAGTTCCCGAAGGTTTTTAGGGCATACATCTTGTAAGCCCATTTCAAGCTTGATATTGTTTTAACTTTAACAATGTATACTAACTATATATTGCAAAACATAGAAAGTGTTTCGATGTGTTCATCACCAGTGGGCTTAATTAAATCATTTGAGATTTCATTTCAAACGATTTTCAGCTTACATAATTAAGTAGTCATTGTGCATCAAAATCATTCGAAAATAAAGGCATTCTTACAACTAGATTTTACAAAAATAAGTATTAAGGTGTATTCTTGTATGACCACCTAGGCAAGTAAATTGCGTAATATTTGAACGAGTTTTCTCCAAAGATATCGTGAATAAAACAAAAAGCCCCCGCTGTGCAAATTACATGGTCATATGTTTTTAACAAAAACAGCGCTACACATACACTCCCTAATATCGCTGTGTCAAAATTGCCAATCACACTCTTGCCGGATAGTCGCTTATGCACCACGGGAGTTCAATTGCAAGTAGCCTAAATGTCTTTCAAAATAATTCACTCTACTAAACCTTGCATTTAGTGTTCATGAGCATTCCATTTGGCTTAATAGTAATGATTATGTTATTTGTTTTTATTTGTCTGTTCCTTATGAATGGTTTATCGGAAGACTGATAGATGTTAATAAGGTACTTGCAAAGATAAACTAAACAATACAATTAGACAAACAGAGTATCTTATGCATTTCTAGGGGTTAGGTGTAGTAGAGTGAATTATGTGTGTGTAAGTACGCTTGGATGAACTAATTTTGTTGAAAACACGTGAGTATGTTTGCACTGCTGGGCTTATTTTAATTATTAGTGATGATTTAGGGAGAAGATTAATCAAAATATTATGCAACTCACTTGCTCCCCTGACAAGTACATTGTACATATTCCCATGTTTATGATAAAATAAAATGAGATAGAGGGTAGCTCAATAAAAATGTTACAAGCATAAAAAGCTTAACATTTTTTTTATAATCTTAGCTCTCAGTCTAAAATATATATTTCAGTTCTTGTAGAATAAGCTCTCTCTATTAAATTGACGTCGGCAGATTCAAAATCCTTCCATTGTTGATTGCATAGGACGAATTGTATTAATTCATGTGAAATCTGACTTGCGTCAATTTCTCATTGGTTGAAGATGTCATGGCTTCCTGGATGACATCCTAAGCTTCCAAAGCCATTTATTTCCGGCATGATGTGGAGTTAACAGGACAGCACCTCTGCTCCAAAGGTAAATGGCTGTGACAGAACTCTTTGGAAATCGGATCATAGCATTGACTATCCTAGCCGAGTGGCCCACAAGGTCACCCGACTTAACCTCCTGTATTTCCTCTTGTGGGACAAAGGTCTTCAAAGCAATCCCAAATGATCCGAATGAACCTTATCAAAGAATAATTGATAAGGTCAGTGTGGTACGACAAGAAAGGGAGATATTTTCACACGAGATTGTAGGGACATGTTGAAGCAAGGACTTGTTTGCATGGATAGGCACAGCAGTCATTTTACGAAAGACAGTAGGACAATTGCAAAATGAATCACTGAAATGTGAATCTTTAACTGTGAATGGGATTTAAATGTTAAAGGAATGTTTCGTTTTCGTTTGTCCTTTGTTCTTTTTAACCACTGAGTAGTTGGCGCAAGTCAACCATGGAAGGGTAAATGCCAAAATTATTAAATATATTGATCATTCTTTGCACATGTTTGCATGGATAGGCACATCAGTCATTTTACGAAAGACAGTAGAAAATTGCAGATTGGATCAGTAATATGTGAATCTTTAACTGGTTTCCTCCCTGTCCTTCGTTCCATTTAACCACTGAGAAGTTTATGCAAGTCAGATTCCACATGAGTCAATAAAATCTATCTTGTGTAGTCAACCATGGAAGGGTAAATGCCAAAATTATAAAATATATTGACCATTTTTATTGAGACACTCTGTATACGATGTACATGTTCTTCATCAAATAGTTCATTGTTTTCTTATTGTCATGCCACGATATACCTATATACATATGCCAAATAATTGACACAACGTTTTAACTAATGGAAAATATTACCTATTTCTTCTTAGGCTAGGTATAATGTAACGTAACTTTAATGCATTGGCATTACTAGGTAGGTCAGCAACGTCACCTGAATAACAGAAGTCAATTTTCCTAATTATTGTTGACATAAATATTGAAACTTGTCAATGGATTTGAAAACAAACAAAAATCAAATCCTTGTCGGATTCATAATAGCAGCCTCCAAAACATGTTCAAAGACGTCATCAAGCAATGGGAACATATTTTCATAAGGGTTAGATATAAGCAACTGCATATCGAAACTTGTTCATTTTGATAAAAACTATAAGCAAATTAAATATAGAATTTAAAAAGCACTCTGGTATTTTCATCACTTGTTGTTCTGCTTTATCATATCATTGCCAGAAATCGTGTGATTTGAAAAGCTGATTTAGTACCATGTGATCAAAAATACCATAGCGTTTTTAAAAATTCCCTCTGACAATTTTCTTTAAAAAAGACGAATTGCCTAGCGTATTGCCCGTCCTGGAATTCTGACAACTGCACTGGACGAAAATAAAAATGTTCTTTAATATGATACTTGTACGTAATTATGTTATTTCATTGGTTATTGATATACTAAATGATTTAAGTAAGTGTCTACGGGTTAATATTCTATGTTTCTTTGAAATGCAAAGTGATCGTAGAGAATGTCTAGTATGGTAAGAATGCTTTTCGCAGCAATTTTTGCGGGCAATACATACTAAAAATCATTGAAAGATGAACAGGTATTGCTATCCACATCCATAGAAAAAAATGTTTGCCTAATACGCATTGGTACTGCACTCTTTAAACTAGTTACCAAAACGGATCCGATTCGGTAACAGAATATCGGAACTTCGAAGGTACGATTTTTCTTAATTCCTTATTTCACGTGTTTTATCACGACATTTTTATCACAAACATGTGCCTGTATCAAATGTTTAAGAAAATCTACACATTTGCGAACATATAGTTCAGAAGACACAGAATCGTCGATTTAATCATTCAATATTGTTACGTAAACGGAACGGGTTAAAAGTGCAGATCTTTACTTTTCTTGTTCTTTTTCTTCCATTGGATGAGTAATATTCTCTTTTACTGGACATCTATAGAGGAACATGTTGTCATACGCTGAAGAGAAACGCTAACTAGAAACTCCTATGTCGCGTTTTAGACATGCATCACTAACCTGTATTGGTAATTGAGTATAAGGTTTTGTTTAATTTCATTAATCGTTGTAGAAATGCTAACTGAGAACTCCGTCAACACGTTTCAAGGCATCATACAATACTAACCTGTATTGGTAATTGAGTATAAAGTTTTGTTTAATTTCATTAATCGTTGTAGAAATGCTAACTGAGAACTCCGTCAACACGTTTCAAGGCATCATACAATACTAACCTGGATTGGTAATTGAGTATAAAGTTTTGTTTAATTTCATTAATCGTTGTAGAAATGCTAACTGAGAACTCCGTCAACACGTTTCAAGGCATCATACAATACTAACCTGAATTGGTAATTGAGTACAAAGTTTTGTTTAATTTCATTAATCGTTGTAGACATGCTAACTGAGAACTCCTGCGACACGTTTCAAGGCATCATACAATACTAACCTGGATTGGGAATTGAGTATAAGGTTTTGTTTAATGCTTGTAAGTTAGGGTTATCCTTCTCCATTCCCGATTCTGCGACATCTAAAACCTAAAACAAATCAGGGGTTTTGAAAATGACGTTGGGACAGTATATTTTGATTGAAAGTTATATCCATTTCACAGCAAAATAAAAACTAAAGAAACAGGCATAACAGCAACTTGTTAAGTCATAAGATAATTTACGTCAACGTGTTATGTAATAAACTTCAGGTACTGTCCCTCTCACTTTTTTTCAGGTACGGTCTAATATATAACATTTTTCCTCAAAATTCTTAATTTGACAAGTAAATCAACGAAGTAGAAAACCTTTAGGACCTTAATTTTACACGTTCACATATAAGTTCTGTTAAAAAGACGTGGGTAAAGCTCTCCGCTATCGAAAAAGATACATTTTTGAAAAATATCTCAAATTGTTTTTCATGTCACGAAAAGTAATATTTGCATCACTTAATTATGTTTATAACTGAACAAGAGGTCTATAAAAAGGCGTGGCTTTACCTCCCCACTACCGACATTTAGCAAACTGCTACTAAAATATTATTGCAAATAACGTTTAACTTACCGAAAACAGAACGCTAAATATGGCTATCCCATCAGGTTTTCCCACGGCGTCGGTATAGTTATCGTACAATAGTCCATTCCAAGTAACAATTTGCAACTGTAAAATGTAAAATGAATACTTCGATCACAGTATCACTCGGAAAAGTCGTGATGCAAAAACAGTATTTTTGTATCAAAATGGCAAGCCTTCCGGTGACAGATTTTCGAATGATATTTTGTTTCCCAAATTTAAGCCCTTTTCTTGGATTAGTTTCATCTCTATCATGTTGCATACCTACAGTTAGCGCACGATCTACAATTTAAAACAAGACATTAACACTACAAATCTCACCAACTAGTTGCTCACAAAATTATGAGTTCAATCTCAAGTTGTAGATAAGTTTAAATGTATAAGCACTAGTGCCAAAGGGAAAGGACCAAAAATTGTAATGGAACTTAGCAAGAAAAAGCAAACTCTAAGTGCATACCAGTCAAGAAAAACAAACCCCATATAGCCCAAAACCATGATCTAACGTGAAAAGAAACAATGTCTAATGCCCCCTTTCCCCCCACCATTCAAGAACCAATATCACAATCCAAGACCAGAAGACCAAGGGACATTTCATTCATACTGAAGTCATTACAATACATGTTGAAGAAAAAATTAGAAATTGATAGTCAATACTCATAACCTCAAAAATATGTGTAGATACAAGTACTCATTCAAGATAGAGCACTCAGTCTCAAATGATGTGGGATAGATAAAATCTATAGGCCTTTCAAAGGGTCAACACCCATTCACAAAAGCCATCGCCATAATCCATAAAACACAATAATTCACAATGGTGAATTTAAAATAGTCAATTTGAAGCAATTGGAAAAAGACCCTTTCGACCTTAAGAAGGTATTTGAAAAAGTTGAAAAAGACGTATTATCACCACCTTGCCGAGTCTGTTCTAGAAGTATCAGTGCAAGTTTAGAAGGCATTTATTTTACCGTATTACATAAACCTAGCGAACCATTCGTATGGAAGTCAATGGAGCCGAAGGTCGGCAATATATTCCTGTATACCCGCCAAACTTTGTTACCATGACAATTTTATGACGTCATAACATGTAAACAAAGCGATTTCGATTTGAATCGTGTAAAACTTCGGTCTTTCGATCCCCATTTCTTCATATTATCTTCATGAAATGTTATGTAAATGTACTTTAGGTATGTAATACAACAATTATGTCCGTATCATTGAATATATCCGTCGTCAATATAAGCCTCGCAAGCTCGGGCTGTATTGACGTCAGACTTCAGGCATATATTGAAAGGGACATAATCAGTGGACAGAAACGCGTCGAGTATTTTCGTCTGGTACAACTTGAAATACTGGACCAGACCTCCATTTTTGATAGGTAGGTTTAATTTTACTCGGTAGCCTGTGATCGTTTCACAGGGTTTCCTAACCTAAAAATAGGCTCATCAAATTCCGAGTACATTTGGGAACATCCAATTCTTATAAAATAACAGCTATCCATCTAGTTTATTTGTGATGTGGGATTGAGCAAAGAAATATTTTGATTTTCAGGAAATACACGAATCGGGGTAAGTGTGTACTGTGTATTGAGGATGGGGGCCCCTTTGATCATTTATTTTAACTTTCAAGGTAAGACGTCATAACTTTATAGCCTGGTATTTCATTTTTGGACCATACTTTTTATTTTTAGCGTTATGTTGTTAATACTAAAGGTATTACATTGAAACTTTTAGGTCTTAGAGGCAATATGATGAAGTTATAATACTTCTATACTATTCATAGTTTCTGAGATATTAACTCTCAAAGTTCGTGACGTTTTTTATCCATCCGATATATCTTTTTATTTTACCATTTCGTTGACAAGATATGCATTTTTCCTGTATATGAACTAACAATACAGCCTCCAATCTGCAACTTTTAGCTTAAGGTGCTATGGAAGTGAACAGGAAATGACGAAACAGGAAATGACAATTTTTTTGCATTTTTAGATATTTTTTGAATAAAGATAACAGGGTTCTGGTTTGACCTCCACATATCATTTACATGACCAGGATCACAATGTGCATGGTCAGAATGACCCTAAACATGATGATATAACCTTTTTAGCCCTTTGAAAGTGTGACTGAAAAAAGCTAAGAGTAGGAGCGTAGGGATAGTCACTGAACAGAATATTTTGAATTTTTCAGAAAATGTGCCCAATATAATGCTTTAACTGATACAATCTTTGAAATTTTAGAAAATTGTCTGAAACAAAAATGGCGGTCATAAAAAGGAAAATTGATCGCTTTTCAAATCAGTTTTTTCCTTTTTTCCTTTTTCTATGAATGATATCAAATTTTCAAAGATTGTATCGTTTAGAGCAATATATTGGGCACATTTTCTGAAAAATTCAAAATTAAGTGCGTATAAGAATGGTCATAAGAAGCCCGTGAAGGGTCATGAATGAAAGAAAGCCCTCTGAAATTCCGTCAAAATTGCAGGTTATTTCTTCATTTTTTGCTAAAATTACATGATTTTGAGGGCCCATATCTCACTGAAATTGCTACAATGTAGCGATTTTTCATTTTTACAGGCTAGATACTCGTGCAAGGTCAACAGAAACAGTAAGCATGTGTGAATGTTAAATTGCTACGTTGTAGCAATATTTATTTAAAAATACAGCTGTGGGGGAAACTGCTATTTACTTAGATTTGGGCGAAAATGGCCTAATTTCAGTCAAAATCCTCGGGACACAGGGCCTTTGTCGTAGATTTAGTCAATGATGCAACTCTTAGTAGAAGGTGTGCCATGTAGGGAATGAAAGCTGTTTGTCAGAGGTATGATTTTCTTGAATAAACTCAGAGATAGTCAGGTTAGATTTGTGACGTCACAGTGGCAAAGATATACTAGCATATTCAGACGTATTTGGGGTAGGGCAAATTAACCCTTTCTAGCCTAAATGGATAAATTTTTCTCATATTCAGCCAGTTCCAACGTTTTTATGCATTTTTGAACTAAAAATGATATTTTCTGCCAAAAAAAGTTGCAGAGACAAAAATCAGCTTGATGTCATAAAACATTAAGGTATGAGGTTCCATATCCATCCGCCAAAAGGTATGACCCCTTTATAGTCCATTTAAAAACTTGTGGTTTGTTCTAGATAATCCCATAGTATGCCACTATTTGGTATCAAAATAAAGAGGAGGAGTTCAACTTTCATTTGAATTACGAAAATGGCGATGTAGGTCAAAATAGTTCCGACCTTGAGCATGTTTACTACGCGTTTGCCCGTCATCTCAGAATTGAGGAAATGGTAGCAAACGCGAGTTACAATTAATGGACGCTGATATCTCAAAAAGTAACCTGACTCCCTATAATATGATGTAGATCAATCGAACCCCTATATAAACAGGTACATAACACTATTGGGGGTAAGCGTTTTATAGTTGATCACGAACGCCATATGTGCAAAGTATTGTTCTGAATTTTCAAATTTGGTGTTGGATTACGGTACTCAAACCATAATCTATAACCGGAAGTCTGGCCATCTTTATGCATCACGATACCCCTCCCCCAGTGAGTATGACGTTCATGCATTGCCTGTTGTGTCTATTTGACTTATAAGATAATAAGACAGTTCCCATTCTATTCGCGATTTCTGATACTCAACTTCAACATCCATTCTTAAATCTAAAATTGAAATCAAAATACAAATCATAGCAACAAAACTAGACGCTATAATCGATTGAAATCTTTCGTATTGTAGAATTGGTTACTGCGATTACATTCGGATTACTAGTAGTAAGAATTTTACCTCAAGTTTTGCCTGGTCGCCATCTATGATATGTTCTGCAGGCAAGTTAAATTTGGCGTCGTGTACCAAAAAAACTCCAGGTAGGTTACCGTCGGAAAAATCCAGGTGATACCTTCTTGGAATGTTAATCCGAACTGAATATAGAAATTAAGAATTCAGTGAACATTTGAAATATTAGCTTGGTTTTCCTGTTATATGTTACTTCATTTTTTAAAAATTGGTCGTAATCACAGCTTCTTTTATCAATGACGGTATGTCTTTTGATCGATTTCGACACATTGAATACTATTATCCATAACCTTTTTGGCCAAACAAGGAAAATGGGAATTTTTGCACAACCTTGGAAATTCATGAATGCTTAAATTCGAAAACCAAGACACTCGTGACTGTTACCACACTTTGAATGAGAACAATAAGGATAGCGTTGACTTTTTAAAGCCATTAGCTTTACTCACCAGCATTTCCAATATTCTCTAATGTAGAATTTCGCAATCTGCTATCTAAACCCCAACTAAATAACTGACTCTCAAGTAGGGCGATGTCTAGTTCAGTATCCTGTGTTGTTATATCGATCGGCGATTGGTTCTGGCCATCGCATAATGGATAGTCATCTTTCCAGTTAGAAGGACCTGTTTGAAAATGTATTTGTTTATTTGTTTTCTGTTTATGCCGCCCTTTAAGATTTTGGAAACTGGAATTTCAATTTCAGATCTCGAGTGAAAGCCCGTTTGTGTGCCATGAATCTTATAAAAACGCCAAAGAGCATAAATCTTACCCGAAGGTGAACTTGGATCATAACTAAAATCTGAAAATGCAAATAATAAACGGTGTAGTAAGTAATTAAAATGAATATCAAGTATTACAGCTAAATGTTCAAAAACAGACTGCTCGGGGCTCACACGACTATTCCAAGGGTATTGGACGCATCGAGAGGGAACTTTTCTTAACTCCAGGCCGTCTCGGACCATAGCCTACAAGGAGTAGAGGACCCACTTGAAGTGGAATAATGTTAAAGCGAGACCGTTTCGGCATTGGGAGCCCATTGCCCATTTCATTGGACTCAAAATTTTGAACCTTTTTTGTGCACTTCACTTCACTTTGGAAATACATTTTTATCAAATCAAGTGAAGTACCACGAAAACCATAAAAATACCATTTTTGAATTAGAATTTTGTTGTCAATACTGTCAAATGCCTTGGAGAAATAAAAAAATACAGACCAATGGCCTTAAGGACTGTCAATAGATGGCGAAAAATTCAGTAGGTTTAATAGCATACTTTAACATGTAAAAAATCCTCCAAAAATCTCCAAAGATAAATTTTATTGAAAATATCCAAAACTTCTAATTTTGAATCTTAAAACATGTTTGTAAATAATGATGAAGGAAAATATGATATTTATTAGATATATCTAAAGAATTTGAAGTTTCAAAACAGGAATATTTACACATTAACCAATGGGCCAGTTGTGGAGAACAACCTAGTAGTTAACTGCCATCTATACGAGTTCTGGCTCCCATTGAGTACTCTCCTTGTTCAAAAGATTTCCCTGTTTTTTCGACAAAATTAAGGATAGCCATAAAAGTTGATTTTTTCTCTAAAACCGAATTGATTGATAATAAAATTTCCATTTTGTCAATAAAAGCAGAGAATCTTTAAAGTTGTTTTAGAAAAAAAACAGGACGATGATAGGACAAGGATTAGTGAACAATTTCTTTTTTTTTGTAAAAAGGAATGACTTTTGCAACTTTTAGATGATCAGTAAAACACCATTACTAAAAAATAAATTAAAAATATACAGAAGGGGTTGTAAAAGTGTGATAGTGGAATAAATAATGACTTGTATATTGGATTGAGTACATTTTCTGAATATAAGGAATGGCATTTTGTCCAACTCCAATAAAAAACCAAGGTCCCTCGGAGTGATTTATTCCAAAACCAATAGTAACAAATTATATAATTTTTGTCTTGACTCACTTATTCATGTAAGAATGTATTGTAGAATTGTTTACTGCATTATATATCAATATTAATATCTATGATTTAAATTTAACTTCAAATGCATATCTCACTTATCACCAGTATACATTTTTTATTTTGAAACACATTTAGGGCAAAACCATTTACACATCTATGACAAATCCAAGATGGCTGTCACAATTTCAGATGCTTGCACATTTGAATAAGTTAAAAATAATAAATGGTCCGCAAACAATATTTAGCCAAACTTAAATAGTAGTAGTCAAACCCCAGAGAATCCGGAAATATGTTCTGTTGAAGAACCCCATTTCTTATTACTTGGAACTTTTAGTATTGATATTGTTCACTGATTACTGTTTTCCAAAGCAAATCGCCCGTTTTTTTAATCATGGAGGGTTTTAGCAACAGGCGATTCTCAAGAATTCTTTTCGAAAATGTTCAAAATATATGTTTCTACAGTATATTCATTGACATTAAATACTTATGAGGAACGCAATGATGCCAGACAGAATTAAACATACAAAATAAAGGTAGTCAAATGATGTAATCAGATAAGATATATCTTACCTATCTTATCTCACCCCCAAAATGCAATCTGATTTCGGCGTCGTTTTGGTGCCAAATTTCGGTGCCGTTTCGGCACCATATAATAAAACCTTCATTTTCCTTTTTTCTATGATTTTTACACTGGTTTTCATCACATTTTCTCTTTTTAATCTTTGACCTTCCTTCTAGTCATGAGAACATCTTCATATTTTGGTGGTGACTCAAAAATTATTTCAATCTAGAGGGTAGTAAATGAGGCCGAATGTCCTTTTTTAAGAACTATATGATATCCAATTATGGTTTATTGTTATTTGTTCTCCGTGGACATATGCATTTAAAGTCGGACCAGTCAAATAGAAAATGCGAACATAACCGTTACCTTGTCCATATGCAAGGAGAGGTAGTAGTAGTAAGATCAACATCATGTAGGTCCTGAAAAGTGAACATGAAATAATGCTTATAAGCACCGCTATAAATGTAAAGGAAACATAGATAGACGTTAGTTGCATTCGCGAATACAAGCTAAGTGACTTGCAAACAACATGACCATGGCTGCGTTTTTGAACTGAATGTGGTGCTAGTAAATTGCATAATGTTTAATAAGTTTAACCCTAGGTATCACAAAAAAGAACAATAAGCCCCTCTGTGCAAATTACATTTTCACACGTTTTCAACAAAAACAGTTCATCCAAGTGCACTTACACCGCTAATTACGATGTATCAATTTTGTCGGCTGACCGCATGTGTCAACTGCGCCGGCTCGTTGCTAGTGCACCACAGGAGTTTGATTGAAATAAACCACGGTGTCTTTCACAAGAATTATGTGAGCGTTAATGTGCTTGGATGTGGTATTTTTTAAAAAACATATGAGCATGTAATGAGCACTACAGGGCTTATTGTTCTTTTTAGTGATATCTGGGGAGAACATCAATTACAATATTACGTAATTCACTAGCACCTCGGGCATACGGGACAATTTACGATAATTGATATTTTAAAAATCTGTTGTTGTACTAGAGACTGCGACATATATGTTGATTTCATGGACATGCAATGTGTTATTTTTTGTTGACCAGACTTTAAGCAATCATTACCACAAGGTACCTGTTTTGAATATTGCTGATCTTTTTAAAAAATATCACTTCAATGATGGATTTTTTGACAATTGAGAAATATTTTATTTTTTCGGCAAATATAATCTCGAGTTTCTTAACATAAAATGTATCGATTGCGTTGATATTTTTGAGCAAGTTAATAAAATGTATGTGCTACCAACTCTTGAAAGCGGGATGTTTGATATGTCTTGGTCACATAATTAAGTATGTTTTACTATATGTATACGATTTGTCAAATATTTGTATCCTCCAACTCATCGGTCATATTAATATACAATATTGATGCATTATATTGGTGAAAGCTATGCCACAAGGTACATTTTGATGACACATCTTCGATTGCAGATAATGGAGATATATGATTGGGTGTACGTATTTCTGTCGTGAATTCAAGTTGTCTAGATGAGGCTGTCCAATAATTTGTATCCTCCAAATATTAAAATATCATCTTTGGGAAAAAAAACTTTTAGATTATTATTTTGAGAAATGAAAGTACTTAATAAAAGTATTTAGATCATCATTATTTAATTTTTGAATTATTTGAATTGTCTTTGTAAAACTTTATTAAGTATGTGTTGGAGGATACAAAATGACTTTAAAATTATTTGAAATATAAACGTTCAATCGAAAGTCAGTTGTATTCATATTTTTATGTTTATATTTAAATAACAGCAAAGAATGAGTCATTGCCAAACCAAGAAACATTATATTCCACTCTCAGTTTCACATGTGATCATCTTATAACTTTGTGGGAATAGCGATGCTTGTAACCTTTACATTTCTATTCAACAAGCTATGCTTTCTTTTTATTTCCATGACCGACACATAACCATACAACTTTGAATGATGTTTCTCATTCCCTCATTGCCCACGCTGCATGTTTTTTCATGATATTATATTTTGAATGCCGTTTGTCGTTCCCTATGATGAATGTTGTTTGGCCTTTACCCGAAATGAAAAATGTTGCTTGCACATCTTAGTCATTGTAAGTGCCAGAATACTTTTATATCGATTCCAATGAAAATGACTGCATCCATTGCAATCTGTAATACTTCACATGCAATATGAGCAAGCCAGCTTTTAGTAAGGGGGGGGGGGTCGAACCCATCCCCCTGCCCACACATAAACATTTTCCACGCTAAAGCAATACCATGTGCGATCCTGAAAATTCAGAGGGTGGGAGACGAAAACAAGGCATTAACATGACGAAATGTCACCACCTAGTTGCTCACAATATTATTAGTTCAATCTTAAGTCAGATTTGAATTTCTGAAAAAAGAGATTTTTTGACCCTGACAAGGTCATTGAAGGTGAAATCTAAAATCTAAAATCAGAGTTGAACTTCTGAGAACTTAAAGATGATTTTGAAAAAAATAATTGATCAATTTGTGGCAAGTTGAAAAAAGAACTTTTTGACCTCGAGAAGGTCAAATATTGTTTTGACCTTGAGAATGTCATTGAAGGTCAAATCTATAGTCAGATTTGAAGTTTTGAGAACTTCAAGATGATTTTGAAAAAGGAATTGGTCAATTTGAAACAAGTTGAAAAAATATCTTTTTGACCCTTTTGGACATTGAGAAGGTCAATGAAGGTCGAATCTCAAATCTAAAGTCAGATTTGAACTTCTGATAACTTGTAGATGATTTGAAAAAAAAGAATTGGTCAATTGAAGCAAGTTGAAAAATATCTTTTTGACCTTGAAAAGGTCACCGAATGTCAAATCTTGAAGATCATATAGAAAGAATGCCGTTCAAGATCGCACGAGCATCCAATCCCCCCGCCCCAACATACACAGCCTGGCTAAGGGCCTGAGTAATATAAAGAAGGACTTCAGACAAAAATGTGCGTGCGTGTTATTTGGAAAAATAAATTACCCCAGTAACTTAAATTCATGATGGTCATTTCGAAAAAAAGCTCTTTTAGATTAGACGTAATCAAAAGCTACGAAAACAAAATTTAGTCTCCTGTTTAAAAAGCCCTATTCTTCACTAAATTGGTTAGATTCTAGGTTTGCTCTGTGACATATTTCACCTTCTAACGAGAATGACCAGAATAGTGGAACCAATTCTAAAAAAATATTAAAAGATACTTCTGGTGGAATGCGCATCGGTTTCTATACGAAAACTAAGACTTTTCTTTATCGTTTAGCTTAGACACATCTTATTTTGCTCGTACAGTACTAGGTTTTAATTTTATTAAGCAAAAGGTAACGGTTAAAAATAGAAAATGGAATTCCATTGCTTCACAAAAAAACGTTGTAGAAACGAACGTTTGATTAATACAATACAATACAATACAATACAATACAATATTTCAGGATGTCAAAATCCACCTGATTCTAAAAAAGGTCTAAATTCCATGATGATCACTTAGGCGACAAAAAAGTTTGGACCCGGTCCAATTACTTTCAAAATTAAACTAATTGGAAGACTTAACAAATACAACAAGGCGAAAGGAATATATTACATTAAAATACCTTAAAGCATATAAAAGAGTAAAATGAATAAATAGTTTGCTTTCCAATATTATTTATAATGTATAATGTTATAAAGTAGGCCATGTCATAGTAAAAGGGGTACTCTTGGAATGATTAATGAAGTCTAATATAAATGTATCATCCAAAACAGATGTGTATTGGAGGATTCATGATTATTAGACACCCTTTTCTGGAAAAAACAAAATAAATGAAGCCACGAACTTTGTCCTATAGCGAGGGCATCGGAGAAGAACTGTACATGTAAAATTGTATGAACGTATCTTGCCCATTTCTTAAGTTATCGCTTTTGACAGAGGGGTCGTTCAAAATAATTTGCGGCTAATAATTTCAAACGATAACGTTGACTTTATTTACATTTTTATTTTTACAATGCAATACTAATATCCAAGGAAGCATGTTTATTGTTTGTTTGACAAACACAAATGTGATAAATAATATCTTATTTTAAATTAAACCAGACTTTTTGAACGATTAACGAAAATATATTCATTCTTTATTTCTTTGAAAATTGCTCGGTTACGAAATGCCAATATAGTTCCAATGATGCCGCTTACGAATTTATAAAATATAATGTGTTTCCTCTGCAATTCGAGCAAAATCAATCGTCATATGAATATTTTAATTTTCGAATTTTGTATTTTTTGAAATATCAATTATCGTAAATTGGCCAATACACAAATACAGCCTATACATAACTGACACACTAAATTAAAAAATAATTGACTAAGGGAATTAAACTGTTAAAGAGACCTGTTCAAATAAATAAGGAAAAAATTAGGATTGATCAGTATGAAATATATTTTATGAGGCTGTAGTGTTTTTAGTACATGCGCTCTTAGACAGGCAAAAGTAAAAGGAACAAAACTTAACAGGTTTGTGGTTGGCTATATAATATAATGACGTAATTTTATTATAAATTACATAATGTTATATAACAATACTTTTTGCCGATAGGGCTAATAAAGCCTGGTTACACAGAATTCGTATTTTCTTTATTGAAATGTATGATCAACATTACTTTTGAAATAATTTGAATTGTTGAATGTTAACTTACCCAGTGTCGAGCCTGGTGTTCCCGGTAGTTGAATGATTGGCCTCACGATATCCGGTATACATATATAATATCCATCCCTGACGTAATGGTCCGTGAATTGCTAATTACTTTTGAATTTCAGATAAAACATCATTTCATGTCATCATGTAATTAATTTCACATTACAAAATATGTTTAGACATCTCACCCTATGTGACTTCATATTATAAGACAAATGCATGATCTTTTGGAAAAAGCAATTTTTATTATTTATTTTATTAGAATCAGTGTAACATATTTACCGGCTATAGTCGCTTCAAGCCCCAAATGCTAGTAGTAGGTGCAACATAATGGTTTTTACAATGATTTGTAACGTATTATGAGAAATGTACAAATATATGATAGTGTTTGTAATGGAAAAAATTGTTTTAATGGGCGCATGGTTAAAATCTCTGCTTTAATAACAGGATCGTTTTTTATATATATATTTTTCATTATTTTTGAATGGGCTAAGTATAAAAAATTCAGATGAACCCCTCTCGGTTTATGGATATCAATAGGAACCAGCATTGGAAAGCTTATTGAAACTAGTGAGGAATTATTGGTCTACAAAAGTGTTTCGGGTCGGATTGAACTACAAGTAAAATGTTTCGCATTTTGGCGTTTTTTCTTTTTTATAATATTATATTTATTCATGTTTTTATTTATTCAAATATGACAAAGGTGCAGTTGACAACCAGGCTCAAATATCACCGCACCGATTCCATAATTATTTCTCGCGGAAGGAATTGACGATCTTTTCGCTTTTTGAATATGTTTTATTCATCTTTTTGTTATTTCAGACATGGTATTTGTTCGTTTTACAAAGCAGGCAATATTTGTCGTCACCTCTGTTCATCCAGTCATTTTTTTCGAAATGAATCTTGTCCATGTCGCACTGGATTCATTTGTTCAAATGTGTAAATAATTGTGATTGTACAAGTACATTAGGTAATTAATAGACAATTAATCAAGGAAAACACAATCCAGTCTCATTACTCAATGGCAATTTGAAAGCATGAGTTCACGCAATCGCGCACTTTACGTATGAATGTTGACCCTTTGAATTGCCTAGTGACTTCGAAACTTGAATTTGCCACATTATTTATCAGTGTTGACCCGTACATGCTAGATGGCAATAGAATCAATACATTGATGTTTAGCAATGTTAGTACAAGACATCTAATTGATTACAATACATGCTACATACGTTAAAAAGTTGTTGTAGACCTACATGTAAGTTGAATATTAATATTTTCGAATCTTAGCTGGTCGTATTCAATAAAACAAAAATAAATAATGTGTCAAGTTCAAATTATTGCTATTTATTAGGGGCAATACTTCACCAAAATGGCAGTTTAAACCTGCATACGATGTTTTGTTCTCAAAAGCCTCAAAGGCCAAATATGCAGTGAAAAGTATTGTAATTGTAAAAGCAAATGAAAGCTCATAATATCAATTTGACAGTTGGGGAAAACTATTAATAGTACAACGGCTCTGGGTCCAATATTTCACTATATTGCCCTGCGAAGTTACGTTATTAGTATTAATACCACCGTTAATGACCAGGACTGGAACAGCAAGAACATCTTACGCACTGAACGATATCTAATTTCCCGGGGAAAATTGCCGGTCATTATTTTCATTATTGACCGGCAATATCCACCGCCGCTAGGACGTCACATATTTGTCAGGTCGATATAGTGCCTTCCTAAACTAGCACAAAAACCCCTAGAACTGACCTGAGAAGGTGGTAATGATAGTAAATATTGCAACGAGACGGAAAGCTAGTAGGTGTAAATAAAGGTCAAACAGTCGAATTTTTTATTTTTTTTATTTATATAGTATTTTAGTCAGTGGCTCGCTCAACTTGACATTATGGGCCATTTTTAACAGAAATATAGGAGTTGACGTACATCGGTGTTACATAGTTGAAGGTATACAGCCAAGTGAGGCTCGCACGACTAATAGTATGTTGTTGGTGCTCCAAAGAATGACTCAGCTGGTAGAAAATGCCATGTCTAGATATTTCAGCAAATGATTTGATGATACATGAATTTTCATCTTTATTACAGAGATGATGACCAAAAAGTAAAGTGTTAGCCTTATTGTTATTGGCTCGTGTTAGAGAGTTAAATTTTTATCATTGGATATTCACGTGTTATTTTATCGTTAAGCAACTCGAAATCATCTACATAGAGGGGGCATCTGAAAAGAAAATGGTTGTGTGTTTCTGATTCCAGTTCGCAAGCGCACATTGGGGAATAAACATTATTTAAATCATGTGAGTGTAGTTGCGCTTTGAGGACTAGGTCGCATCGAAGTTGGTTCAAGAGTTTTTCCCGATGTCTGGTAAGATTTAATGAAAAACTTGCTATTATAGGAGTCGGTAGTGATTTTGAGGCCATTTACGTTTAAATGTATAAAGTGTGTTTGATTGTTAGATTTGCAGATGTAGATCATTATTTTATACTTCTGAAAACACATGATTTTTTAGTTTCAAGCGGTAACCAGTTCAGGCACTTGAGGACTTTGACTGAGCTAGATCCTGAAATGGTACCGGATATGATAATACCAGCTTTGTACAATAGTGAGTCTAGGGATTTTAATTTGTTTATATTTGCGCATCCATAGATTATATCACAAAAAGGTGTGGCCTTATGTAGGTATTGTGGATGTTTAATAGGTGGATACCATTAATTTTTGATTTTAAGACGTTCAGGGGATTGATTAATTTGTCGAATTTATCATTACTGCACAAAGTAATTTGCAACGTGTAAAAAATGTATGTACATTACTAAATCAATTGAAGGCGAGTTGATCCAATTGTGTCAAACACTCCATCCTTGCAATCAAGGCTTTCACCTTTTATTCACAGCAATTTGAAAAAGCTGCTGGTAAAGATGTACATTACATGGCGTTTATAAAATCTCACTCCTGAAAACAAATTACACCAGATGAAAATTATCTGGCTGATGATGTGTTCTCCATCACAATTGATGTCTTTTAGGCAGATCATGGGTCATGCAACCAATGTTTTCAACGTTGGCAGTCAATTTGTTGCATATGTTAATGTATAAACAGGAATAGGGAAGAAGAAAAATGGTCATATAGTTCAGGTGAAGCCGCCCAACTATTAACTTAAGAAATTAAGTCAAATGTATTTGAATTACTCCCTTGGCCCAAATGGCCCTCGTGGCTACTTGTTTACCCCGACTTTTTTAAACCTGGTCAAGCTCCTGCTTCTCAATGACTATTGCAAAAAATGAAAACCAAACGGCTGTGTCCACAACTGTACACAACTGCCAATGGGTGTGTAATTTATTATATTGCGACGTATTAAGCATTAGATATCTCTTCTAACCATAGCATTTGAAATTGCCGCTTTTATACACAATTTACTGCCTTCATTCACTATTCGAAATAGGGATGACCCATGGGTACAAATTATATTAGCCGTCTGAAAATCAAAATAATTATGTCAAGTTTTATGGAAAAAAACTGGCTATATTTATCGGTGTTGATAACCTCAATAAACAGAGAAAGGAGGGGGAGTTGTTTGCTATGAATCGGGGGAGTTTTTTCATGCATCTCGCTTATACTTTTCATCCAAAAAACATCAATGTACTTTAAAACATGTTATTGACTGTACGATTGCACCATATAATCCAAAATATATTTCTCATTTTTAAGGATTATCTCTGGATTAACACCCAGGGATTTTCATTTTTCAAACTTCGGAGGACTGGGAATCATAAATCATATTCGCTTTTGAATAGTGTAACTGCTGTTAATATAAATATAGCTTTCATGTATGCCAATTGCTTCTCAAATTGTGTAAATGGTACACTTCTTAATCCCTATAATTTTCACTTTGAGATCCCATAGAAATCCAATAGTACAGGTCCAAGCAGATTTTGAGATAACAGGAAAGTAAACCTTAAATAGACACCTTATTGGGTTGTTTTGGTTTAATTCGCAACCGAAAAAGGTGTGTTTTAAAGATTTTCTTTAGTATATAACTTCAATACATGGACGTGGATCACTGCAGAGGGTTCAATCAAATAAATCCTTGCATCACCGACAATTTCAAAATTCTGACGTGGATATTGATGACGCTTATTTCCCTTTGCCCGAAACTCATCGTAGTCACTTTATATACAAAATATTATTTGAATGAACTTATAATTTGAGTGACACTTTTGCAGGCCTGATATTGAAATGTCTTTTTTCTAGACTCACTTGACGCGTTAAATGTTAATTTGTCCATGTGACCCTTTTCATGTATATTCGATATCAGATCCTAGCTGATCTTCAATCTAAGGCCCATTGGTTATATTTCTCAAAGCATGGTCATAAATCCCTGCAAAACATATAAACAAGAATGGCTGATATGAATATGTGACATTTTTGTAAATGTCACAAAAGTCACGATAGGGTAATAGTCACATTCACTCAGTCACGCCATTGATCCGACTCCCATTGGTCCGAATCAAAATCGTCCGAATTTTAATCTCCAAAATCCAATGGTCCAAATTTCATTGACTTTAATGGTTTCGAACCGTTTGGTGTCGGACTAATGGGATTCGGATCATTGGATTTCGGTCGTTAGAGTTCTAACCAATAGGAATCGAACAATTTGGTTAAAGCCTAATACGATTTAGACAATTGGGATTTGGAAATTGGATTTCGGACCATTTGGCATCCAGACCATTTGGATTCCGACATTGGGGTTTTAGAACAACAGAGCAGGAGCAATGGGATTAGGACAAAAATAATCCAGGCTGTCGGGATTCGAACGATATAGTTTCTGACCAGTGGGATTTAGACCAATGGGATTCAAACCATTGGATTTCAGACCAATGGGTTTTGGACCATTGTGCTTCAGACCAATGGAAATCAGTCCATTGGCATTTTGACCATTGGGTTTTGCATCAATGGGATTCGGACGATTGAGTTTCAGATCAATGGGTTCCTGATCATTTGCATTCGGACCACTCATGATGTGTGTATGTATTTCCAAAATTAATCGAACCCTTGACGC